AAGGGCGCAAACTGATTTTCTAACATCTGCAACTTGCAGTTCACTGCTAATTACACAGATATTAAACGTCAAAAAAGGGTGCTTGCTATGGTCACAGTTATTGCTGCGTGGAAAAAGCATCATCTACTCAAAGATGAAGAACAAACATGGAGCCAGCATGACAATCACAAAGAGAAATGGCTGCAGAACAGAGAGAGCAGAGCAGAGGGATGACATCACGGACTGTCCTGAAAATAATGAGCCCCTGTATGGACATCAGTCGGATCAATTAATTTATGTTATGTTATGTTAGCTTTAAAAACATGTGAAAAAAGTATTTAGTTCAGTTCTGTTTTATTTATATGGGTCCAAATCAAAGTGCTGTTATTACACTCCTGCGAAACTGTGATCATTTCAGTACCATGGACAGCGCATGAGTGTTTGACTGTGCCTCTTGGGATGATCTGATATTGTCGTGTTGGTGTTGTTCCTGGAACAACATAGGCTGTATCCCAATTCAGGGTCTGCAGCCTTAAAGGCCGCATTTTAAGGCCAATTACGTCACAGCGACACAACGAAGGCTGTCCCAATTCAAGGGCTGCTCGAAATGCGGCTAGCTAATTGTTATTTACTAGCTAATCTTAAATGACTGTTCAGTACAGAAGTGAAGCCCAATAATCATGATTTCACAGTCCTGTGGTCTCAGCCTCAGATACTTATCAAATCAAAGCTCATGTAGAAACAAACAAACAAATGAACAAAAGATTTTCTCCTTCATTTCTGTCAAACAAAGCTGTATGAAACGTTTCCAGCTGTTAGTGTCATGGTTGCTAGGCAACCTGGGCAGCGCGACGGAGGCTAGACCGTCCCATTTCACAAGCCTCTCACTTCCGGCCTTAGCGGTCTTTGAGTACGCGGCCCTTGTGGACCGTTAAGGCTGCGTACTTTAAGGCTGCAGACCCTGAATTAGGACAGCCATAGTAAATGTTGTTCCAGGATCAACATTGCAAGCGACCAATCACATTCTTGTGACGTTATTCTTTGGCGCGCCAAGCCATTCGTGCATTTATGAAATTCCAATGTTGCAAGGACAATATCAGTTCTGCTTAAAGGGTTAGGGTCAGGGTCCATTGATCGGCGGACAGAGGCGGTTTCTCGCAGCTTAAGTACAGTTTTTTGTTTTACTGCGTTTTTTTCCAAAGTCGAAAAAGTATGACGTCACAACATTCTGATTGGTCACTTGCAATGTTGATCCTGATCTGGGAACTGGCAGTAAGAGATAATCAAAAGTATCGAGATTTAATTGAGGGATGATACTGCACCAGAAATGTTGAAGGGTGGTGTGTATATTAACGTTCAAGGCATATTGTTATGAGGTGGAAGTATGTTCATATTGTGTTTGGGCTACATTGTGTGCATTGTAAAGGTAATTGCAATACATACTAAGAATAAGAGTAATTTAGGAATGCAGGATTAATGTATATTTTGCGGACTTTTAAAAACGAACAGTTGTTTCCATGTCAAAATGTTTGCAACTCAAGTTCTTTGCCGATACACTGGTAAAAGAAATGTTGACAGTGGCAAGTGTTAAATGGTTACTGCTGTGCTGTTGCAAAAAACTGAAAGCTGTTTTATTGTTAGACATGTTGGCATGTTTTATTAAAGTTTTATTTGGGATGTTGATATAATTTTGTTTAATTGCTAATATCAATGGACTATATTTTTATTAAAATTATTACATACATTTTTTAATTGTAATTAAAAGTGGGCACTTGCCTTTGCATTGTTAAAGTTGTATTACTGGACTGACCCTAAGCAATCATTGCAAATAGCAACTTTGCTATCCATTTTAGACACTAAAAGAAAAAAACACTCACAGACCTTACTAGCATCACATGTGCATAACTCAAGTGTCATCTTATCAATATGTTATGTGATCTTCAATGTTTTTTCTTCTATTTCTGGCAGATACAGACATTTAATTTAAAGTCTTGATCTTGCTTCTGTCTACATACTGTTAGTTACTAAGCCTAATGAGCTGTTGTGTTTTTTTTCGGACTGGATTTACACAAATGCTCACTGAATGTGTTGGCAATAAAGGAATTTAAAAAAGATAAGTTAGATGTACTTAATTCATTTGTGTGGAACCTGTTGACAAAATAGATTTATGTAAAACTAATTAGTAAAGCACAAGGTGGCTGAAAATATAATATTTGAATTAATCTAACTTAAATTTAACATTTTACTGCCACAAATAAGAAATGTGTTGAAGTAACTAATCTAAACTATCTAACCTGTAAATATATCATCTATGTTCATACAACATAACTTGATTTAGTTAGTCTTAAATATGTCTTGTTAATCTTAAGTAGTTTTTTTAAATTAGATGAACTAAAGATTTTTGCTTTAAAATAACATACGCAATTTCATGGAACCTGTTGACAAAATAATTTAAATTAAAGTCAACGTTTCATTTTTTTGAGTGTAGGAAAGCTACAATATCAAGGCTTAATGCAGAATTCTCTGTACGTTTTTGTCCTTGACAGGTTAAACCACAATAAATAGCAATAGCATACACGTGTGTGTGTGTTAGTGATCTGCCTCTTATAACTCTAGTGATTTTCCTGCAGTTTGAAATCTCTGTCATCTTATGTTAATTTCACTGAGTCCAGCAACTAACCACTCTTACTAGATTGTATCATGTCATCTCAACAAGAACAAATTAAGTTGTTGAATTTCGTACAGATCCTTCATGATTTAATTACGTTCAATAGAAACATGAAATTTTGTGTTCAAATTACAAGTTAGACTTTTTTAATGTAACAACCACCCAATTTACTTTTTTCGGTATACCAAAAAAACGTAGAGGCAGCTGCTTCGACTTGACTGAGATGGATGCCTTCCTCGAAACCACGATCCAAAGCGTGCAAGACTGAAATCCCGTGCAGTGTCGCGAGATTTAACATTGCTATATCTATTGACTTACTTCACTCGAACATGATATGAACAATTTAATCTTCCCGCTCTGCATATTATGTAGTTTTCTACACTATATAGTTACACTTAACTTTAAACCATGAGGCAATTGTGTTAAATACACGCAAGGACTTACGATAAATCCAAGAGCTGGCCAATCCCTTTTTTTTCAGTGTGAGCGTAAACAAATATTCGAGTTCCATCAGTTATTAAAGACAAAAAAAAAACATTACTGATACAGAAATATTTTTATACAAGATGCTGCAGCTTGCTAATCAGTGGCGGAGCGGGGGGTGGCTTACTGGGCTTAAGCCCGGGTTGTTTTGTCAGAAGCCCGGGGTCTTTTGGAGTGTAATTTTTTCATAGTTAGATGCCTGGCTGACAACTGTATAAAACAAAAACTACACACAATATTCGAAGCACATAGTGCACACTGTGGGAATTTACGACTGTGCGTAAATCCCCCCTAATATTGGTATGATCCGAGCTCAGGCACTAAGCAACTGAGCGAGGGGAGCGAGGAGAGAGAGGAACAGAGGGGGAGATGGAGAATGAGGACAGAACAGAGATGAACAAGAGCAGGTGAGACACACATGTTAGTCAAATGGTTGTTTACCAAAAGTATCACCGTATCATAGGTCCTCATGTATCTCGTACCTAGTGTTTCTTTTTAGGTTTGTTATTTTTCAAATTCTATATTTATTAAGTTATGCAGGCTTGTTTGCACAACAAGGATAAATAATTATATAAACTTTTCTCAATCTAAATATTGTACTTTGGTAGAATTAAAAAATAAGTGTAGTGCAGGTCTATGATGATTTTTAGTGCTACTATCATCTAGTTTTGATTCTGGTTCTGTCTTGGTTAAGTCCCAAGTAGTCCTGATTTTGAACTGGAATTATAACAGGACTACATCCTGTTTTAATTCCGGATCCGTTCTGGGTCTGGTTGAATTGGGGTTTATTCCGCGTGTCTTGATTCAGCCCCGACTTTGTTCTTCCTTGCTGCTTAATTAAAAAACTAATTTAAGGTGTCCTGCATATGTGATATATATTTTTCCCTATATGAAGTCATTCTTTTTTGAGCAAAAAAACAACAAAACAGAGCCTATTACTCTCTGTTTTACTCTCTCATTCTAGTCTAAACAACAGTGTCTCAGTAACTTTCCACTAGAGATGGTCCCCACTTATCTGCATTTTCCAAAGCAAGCGTGAGCGAGAGTCTGCAGCTTTCTACTCCCCAAGGACACATGGTCTAATGCCTTTATTTTTCAGGGCTCTGTCCACTCAATACTACACTATATAACTTTATTAACAAAAAGCATAGCATTATTGAGGCACTGCAAATTATTTAATTCCAACAGTCCCTCCTTTGATCTGCCCCATGGCAGATCAACACTATTAAAAGCCATCAAGCATCATCCTGTCTGCTCATGTCCGATCCCCAATAGCCCTGTTTACCAATAATCCTCGGATAGACCACAAATTACCCAAATAGCTGTAAGTATGAATAAGGAAACCCTAATAAACCTAATACACACTTTCCTGTTCTGGTGTCTTGGGTAAACCACGGCCTGAAGCCTGCCCTGGGGTCCTGCCCTCCTTTTCAGGCTGTTTGCGACCATTGCTGCTGCTGCTCACAGTGCTGTCCATCCTGGCTCTGGCCCCAGTTGGGGCTGTCCTCTCTCCAGTGTCCATGCTCACTGAGGTGAAACCTGCATCGTGTTCTGTATCTTGTCCATTCTGTATAACTTGTATATTTTATAGTGAAATGCCATCTTGCCATCATCTTAGTGGTAGCAATGAAAAGCAGTTAAGTATTGATAATCAAACAAGGGGAAAAACGCTGGCTTTCAAATAGCTTTCTGTTAATGCTTGTAATAAATAAAAGTATTTCAGTTAGAGCACTAACAAAATTCTCCAAACAAAACAAACTTCAGGCCCATAGTTGTCTGCAGTTTTTTGTGACCTTTTGAATGAATGTTAAACATAAACCATTGCAGCTTCTTCAGTCTGTTAAAAAGCCTTGACCCTGGAACACGAACCTTTTACCAGTCATAGAAAGCTTTATTACATTTGTGTAAATTATTGTCAACAATAACTCTAATGAAACTTTGAAATCCTGAGTTCTTTCTTTTGATATTATTGTAGCATCCCCGGTTGAAAATGGTTCACAATCCTTTTATTAAACAGCCGTGTATGTGAACACACCGTAAGAGCTACAACAGAATAAAAGACTATTAGTAAATCAAACAGTGTGTTACCTTTAACCTTTTGACTTATTCATTAATCACAAATTAATTCTCCTTACCTTACATAACAAATAACACTAAAACTTGTAAATTATTGCATATAACAGGGAAATCGTTGCATCGCTGCCTAAACATGACGAGGTACGTTAGCGCCCTCTAGTGGGTGAAAACTTAGCCTTTATGCTTAGTAGCGGTCAGCAGCTATATGCTCCGTAAAACAACAAAATACATATCTACAGGTCAAACTTTGTTACAAACCTTGTTCCCTCATCAACCAGGTGCTAAGAAACTGCTTTCGACTCAGTGTTGCACCTTAATAGCCGTTCTTTTTCCTATTCCCGTCCATTAACCAAAGAGCACACCTTCTCTCTGTGCATTAAAACTCGCGCTTCTGCCATATGGTTTACGCCACTTGATTTACGGCACCTTGTCGCTCTGTGACTTTCAAAATAAAAGCATTCACTCCAACAATCAATAGTCACTCATAACTTTACAAAACACTTTACAAAATATTAATGAGGTCATTTACAATTATTGCCATCTTCATGCTCCTCCTCAGCGAATAACCTTTTTTCATTTGTTCATACAAACCTCTGTTCCTCACGTGTGAAAAAAGGGGAAAAAATCGACATAATTTTATGTTCCAAGACCAAAGATTGAAAAATCCTAAACATGTCCAGAGTCAGAATAGTCTGTAGAATCCTCTCTGAATTTGTGAGGTGAAAGTTTTGTTTTGCTCCTGATGTTTCCAGTTTTTTCTTAGTTTGACTGCTCACATCCATGGGTCCGTTGTGTTTTAAGCCAATCCATGATCTTCGTTTAAACCTAATCCATCATGCTCAAACCTAACCAAGTAGATCTACAATTGCTAAACCTTATAGTAGTGGTAGTAGTAGTAGTAGCCTCAAAGTTAGTTTCACACTTTACATTCTTCTCTCAGAAAAATGAGAAAATTCTTGTAATGAAAAAATAGGATTAAATAAGATTAAGATTAAATATTGTGACTGTCTCACAAACTGCCGTGAGACTGAGTTGGCTGGTCAGGGTAGATCCAGCATGTCTCGCTCGGCCAGAAGCTGCTGAGTTCGTGTGTGCACCAGCATCAGGGCGTCGATGATGATGTGCAGGATGGGCGTAGCCTCCTGCTGGTTCTGCACACACACCAGCTGCAGAAAGTACTGTCTGTCGGGAAGGGCGAGGAAGACAAATTCTGCTGCCTGCCGGAGCACCCAGGGGTGATATGGGGCCAGCGCCACCTTGTAGGCATCCCTGAACGGATAATAGTATGTATGTTAGTCAATTTTTACTCTAAACATGAGAGTTTGAGTCTGTCTGAGTAAATGGTAAATGGCCTGTATTTGTATAGCGCTTTTCTAGTCCCTAAGGACCCCAAAGCGCTTTACACAACCTGTCATCCACCCATTCACACACACATTCACACACTGGTGATGGCAAGCTACAATGTAGCCACAGCCACCCTGGGGCGCACTGACAGAGGCGAGTACTTAAAAACAGACTGGTGGGGTTACCTGCTCAGCTCCCCCGGCGTTTTGTATTGTCCGTTTTCATTCGGTCCTTCAGCCAAACCCTCCAACATTAGCTTCAGCCAGAGGAGGGAACGGTGTAGCCGGAGCAGCGTCCTGCAGCCTGAGTCTGTGCGGTACGAGAAGTTAACCATATCCGCTCTCAACTCCGCCTCCATCATGGATCTAACAGAACGATACGCCTCCAGAGAAAAATAAAACCAAAAATGACAGTGTCACAGTGTGATGCCAGGATTTTGTGAACTTTGACCTCACCATTTCTTCAGGAATGTCTTTGTTACCATTTAAAAACATCAACAATAAACCAAAATGTTAAAAAAAACAAAACAAGAAAATTCACATTTCTTTTTTGGCAGGTATACTAGAACATGGTTTGTGTTAGATGAAAATTTCACACAGTAATCCTCAAACTCACCCCTGTTTTTAATCCAAATGCTTCTGGGGTTTGTAGTCCAGCGGGTTTCCCATTAGCCTCTGCACTGTGTCTGAGTGACAGCTCTCGAATCAGCACAACCTTTTCTTGCACCTTCTGAGAGAAGAAACTGACCATCGGCCCAAGCGACTCCATGAACCTGAGGGCAAAAACATTGATGAAACCCTTCTGTCAAGATAACACGAGTGCTGTGAGAATCAGCTTTCACAGATTTTAGTATTTTTTAAAACTTTTTGTTTTTCCCTGCATCGTCATTTTTAATTTTGGACCTTGGTTTTATGTTAAATTAGTCAATCAAGAGCACATACCTAGAAAACATGCCCCTGTGAGACCACAGTGGGTAGCTGTGGGTAAACTCTGGGGATGTGTGGGTAAGACAACCCAACACTTGTCCAAGGCACCCCCCAATGGGTGTGCCCGCACTGGGCTTACCCATAGAAACATGTGGTGAGTTAAAGCTAACATGTTTTGTCTGATTGATTTTTAAACCCAGAAATGTTACATTTATTAGCATAAAATCAGATAGATGGACAGATAGATACTGTCCCCAATGGTGTATACTCACATGAAGCATGGCCAAAGTTTTAAACCATGACATCAGCACAAGTAGCTGCCGTAAGCCAAAATCTCAAACTGCTCTAAACACTTGTTTTCTGTGGGATTTCCTTAAATGATCACTTGTGAGCCTTGAAGCCACACCCGCAATAAACTTTTCACATTACAGGGAGTGCAGAATTATTAGGCAAATGAGCATTTTGTCCACATCATCCTCTTCATGCATGTTGTCTTACTCCAAGCTGTATAGGCTCAAAAGCCACTACCAATTAAGCATATTAGGTGATGTGCATCTCTGTAATGAGAAGGGGTGTGGTCTAATGACATCAACACCCTATATCAGGTGTGCATAATTATTAGGCAACGTCCTTTCCTTTGGCAAAATGGGTCAAAAGAAGGACTTGACAGGCTCAGAAAAGTCAAAAATAGTGAGATATCTTGCAGAGGGATGCAGCAGTCTCAAAATTGCAAAGCTTCTGAAGCGTGATCATCGAACAATCAAGCGTTTCATTCAAAATAGTCAACAGGGTCGCAAGAAGCGTGTGGAAAAACCAAGGCGCAAAATAACTGCCCATGAACTGAGAAAAGTCAAGCGTGCAGCTGCCAAGATGCCACTTGCCACCAGTTTGGCCATATTTCAGAGCTGCAACATCACTGGAGTGCCCAAAAGCACAAGGTGTGCAATACTCAGAGACATGGCCAAGGTAAGAAAGGCTGAAAGACGACCACCACTGAACAAGACACACAAGCTGAAACGTCAAGACTGGGCCAAGAAATATCTCAAGACTGATTTTTCTAAGGTTTTATGGACTGATGAAATGAGAGTGAGTCTTGATGGGCCAGATGGATGGGCCCGTGGCTGGATTGGTAAAGGGCAGAGAGCTCCAGTCCGACTCAGACGCCAGCAAGGTGGAGGTGGAGTACTGGTTTGGGCTGGTATCATCAAAGATGAGCTTGTGGGGCCTTTTCGGGTTGAGGATGGAGTCAAGCTCAACTCCCAGTCCTACTGCCAGTTTCTGGAAGACACCTTCTTCAAGCAGTGGTACAGGAAGAAGTCTGCATCCTTCAAGAAAAACATGATTTTCATGCAGGACAATGCTCCATCACACGCGTCCAAGTACTCCACAGCGTGGCTGGCAAGAAAGGGTATAAAAGAAGAAAAACTAATGACATGGCCTCCTTGTTCACCTGATCTGAACCCCATTGAGAACCTGTGGTCCATCATCAAATGTGAGATTTACAAGGAGGGAAAACAGTACACCTCTCTGAACAGTGTCTGGGAGGCTGTGGTTGCTGCTGCACGCAATGTTGATGGTGAACAGATCAAAACACTGACAGAATCCATGGATGGCAGGCTTTTGAGTGTCCTTGCAAAGAAAGGTGGCTATATTGGTCGCTGATTTGTTTTTGTTTTGTTTTTGAATGTCAGAAATGTATATTTGTGAATGTGGAGATGTTATATTGGTTTCACTGGTAAAAATAAATAATTGAAATGGGTATATATTTGTTTTTTGTTAAGTTGCCTAATAATTATGCACAGTAATAGTCACCTGCACACACAGATATCCCCCTAAAATAGCTAAAACTAAAAACAAACTAAAAACTACTTCCAAAAACATTCAGCTTTGATATTAATGAGTTTTTTGGGTTCATTGAGAACATGGTTGTTGTTCAATAATAACATTATTCCTCAAAAATACAACTTGCCTAATAATTCTGCACTCCCTATATATTGTGATATAGCTCTATTTTTATTTTGCCTGGGTGGCAGCTCTACGCTTCCGTACTAAAAGGCCTAAAGTAAAACAAAAAGGACACTTTTTTCAACTGTGAATCATGCAAAGTCAAAGAATAAGAGTAATAATAATGTCGAGCTGTTTGTGTACTTCAGCAGCTGGTCCCAGCTCTTCAGATATGGCTCCAGCAGGATGTCTTTGTCGTTTGCCAGGCTGGATTTCAGGTACAGCAGCAGATGTGAAGCCTGAAATGACTGGCCGGGGCACTCCTTTACGAGGGACAGGGCTCCATCTGGCTCCGCCCACTGCTCAGGGGCCCATGGAGGCTCCGGCTAAAAGAGAGAAACTTTTTTTACTAAACAACAAGATAGTTACTGTTATCATGATCATGTTAGTTTCTTTGTTTCTCTTCTTCATTTCTAGTCTCTTCATGATAGACTTTGTATTTGCTTTCACATGTCCTTAGTCAGTTTTAATAATTTAATTAAAAAATATAGCATTATATATATTATTAAATATTATTCAAACCGTTCTAGTTGAACTAAAACTACTAACTTTAGGTGAAGTATTGACTAATTTTATGTCCAAACATTTTGTTGAAGAGATATTAATCGAAACTCTCCTATGGCAGGCTGTACTTTCCAGCAGTACCAGTTTGTACTGCATGATGGTGCAGCAAGTCATTGTTAGCTTTATTTCACCAGGTAGGTCTTAAAACAGACATTTGTATTCATACAGGTGTTCTGGAAAAACAAAACAACAGTCCTCTAAGAAAAATTTGATTGGATCACTCAGAAGAGCTTTTTAAAGGTTTAGATTTTTTGTGAACATTACAGGTTTTTACTTATTGTGCAACTTACATGTATATAAGTGGAATTAATCTTACCTTCTGGTGGTAAAAACTCAAACATGGCTGCCAGGGGCTGCCACAGTCCCGGACTCCACCCTGGGCTGAAACAAACAGATGACAAACCAACCAAACAAAACTCTGGTTAGACAAATAAGATGCAAACCTCATCAGCTGTGACTCATAATAATTGCAGAGTTAATATATTAAATGATTGCATTTGGTAATAAAGTTGGTTAAAAAGAAGAAATGTTCAGTTAACATTATTAACTTTAGGATTTCTGGTAATGTGGTTTTGATTTTAGAGTTCATCATATGTTTATCAATGTAAAATAAAAATATAAAAGTAGCTAGTGTAGTGCTTCCAAACTCTAAAAATCTAATGTGCGTTATTCTTACTTTTTTTTTAAATTTATTTTGGGACTCGTAGAGTAGCTCTGTTATTTATACTGGGCTTTTATACAGCCCGACTTACACGATGAGCTCACTTTCTTTTGACTGGCCAAATTCTGGAAGCCTGCTGAGGGGCAGCTGAAGTCCGCTGAAGTCTAGTTTTCTCTCTGTCCACACTTTTTCTAAGTAGCAGGGTATTTTAGGCTGATAAAAAGCTAGGAAGACAGCTTTACCGGATAATTGTAAGTTAACATGAGCTTATCTGTAGAACATGTTATCATAACGAGTTAAGGTTAGCTTGCTGGGGTTAGGGGGTACCTTAAGTCACTTGCTAACATTGATGCTAAAATTACTTTATGAAGCCTTACTAACGTGATTATTTACTGAGGGTTATTTTTTTTCCCCCATAAAAAGTAAACCAGGCAGGCGTTTATCAGATCAGTGATTCTGGCTGATATCAGCAAACATTAGCTTACCTGATATTATTTGATACCAATAATATCAGGTAAGCACTTACTGACTAACCTTAGCTTGCTTGCTAATGCAAATGATACAAAAACAAAGCAACAAAACCAAACACAAACTATCTCGAGCCTCCCTAAAAACTCACCTTCACCTGATTGGCCAACTTCTGGAAACCTGTTGAGGGGAAGCACCCAGTGCTTTGTAAACTTAAACAGAGTCTAGGAGTGAATTTTTGCTTCCCAAGGTTGAATTTATATACTTTCAACTCAATATTTGAAACTTTGACCATATAAAATGTATGGTCTTTCATATATCAGTATCTAGTTATTTATGACAGAATAAGCAGAATAGATCATCTTTAAGTGTCTTAACACTACTTGAGCAAATATACTTTGTTACAGTCTATGGTAGAAAATAACTGAGAGTTGGAACCAACAGTGACGAAGGAAACTCACGCAGCCAGAAAGAGCTGATGAAGAGGAGCAGAGCCAACATGGCCGACAGCAGCACGTAACGAAGCAGCGGTGTCCGTCTGAGGAAAACCATGGTGACCAAAACACACATACACGCACACGCACACACACACACACGCACACACACACACACACACACACAATCAGCCAAACCACACAGATTTGCCTGGGATCCTCACTTTTTTCTCACACAAATTAAAACACGCACACATCATCTACCGTTACTTCATACCATGCTCTCACTATTAGTCACTCTCTCGGGATCAAAGGTCGCTCACTCCCACAGGTGTAAACACACGGGGACAACCTTTGCTCCTGACCTTCTTTGTGTAGCAGCTTATCTTAGCCCATTTTATCTTAACCGCATGTCATCCGCAGAGCTTTGCTGACTGAAACCTGCACTGATCAGACCTCACAGAGACAGTTTTTTTATACACTGATTGGATCTTTTTGTAACAAAAAAAAAAACAAAAAAACATCAACGCTGACCAGGTGATATTTGTGTATCTTGGAAGCTGCAGAGGAAGCTGGTGGTTCTCAATGTCTTTTATGGCGATTATACTCACCGCTTTTGCCCTTGGTACAACAGTGCTGTATGGCAGTTCCAAATGGATATGGTTGTGTGACGACACCACTCCTCGTGCCCAAAGCAATCAATGTGGTGGGTATAATGTGGCCCACATTTAATCTTCAAAAAGCTGTTACTATGAATGACCCCTGTGGCTGTTAATTGAACTGCAGGCAGCGAGCTGCTATCACCCACAACATCCACTTACAACGTATTACTACTCTATACTGTATGTCATGAGTGTTGTACAGCAGCTGAAAAGGCAGCACATATTAAGGTTTTGCTGTCACATGACTTAAACCTGCCAGTTACAAAGGCCTAGTAACCAGTTAGTGACCCCCTTCCAAGATGGGTATTCCCCTCCTGGGTGGCGAAAACCATCTTGCGATTGCTTTGGTTGCTAGCAGTTTGCCATGGTCACCTGAATATTGTATGGAAGATGCCAGCTTGTTCCGAAACACTCGCTAACAACTCACCGAGCTGTAGGAAGCTTGCAAACCAGAATCGGAGACAATGCAGAGGCATAACTTTTACTTTTAGAGTCCTCTATTTCCAATTTCCATTTCACTTTTTCTAACTTCACTAGAGCTCAAAATACAGAACAGCTGTTTGCCCATAGTTTGCATTTTCCACACACTTGTTTGGGCAACCAAACCAACAAGAATGAGGGTTTTGGTGCAGCACTTTACACCTCTTTGCAACCAGTCTCCCCCTGTAACTACTGGTAACCAGTCACCAATAGGTCAGGAAATATAAACTTTTCTCTATTTTGGAAGTGATTCTGTAAGCCTCAGCAAATGTAACTTTAGTAACAGGTCTCAACCTCCAGGAATCACTTGGCAAATACAGTAGACCCCCAGAATTCACGAGCGTTACATTCCTAGAGCACGCATGAATTGTTGAAAACCATGAATTTTGGATATGGTAAAAAAATGCTAATGTTGTCAATAAATGCCTATTTTTTTATAGTTTAAACAGTTTAAAGATTCGGCAGGGGGTTCTGCAAACAATTATCGGTTAGGTTCTAAGCAAAAATCCCCAAATGACTGAGTCCACAAACACTGAGCCACGACTTCTCAGGGGTGGATTGCTAACAATTTGCCCTCACAACCCCTGATCTTTAAGCCTGTGCGACTGGGACCTAAATCCTGTGTGCAGCCACATCAGGTTTTATTTTTGTGTTCAAACGTCACATCCTTTAGATTTCCATCTCACGTTCATCAGACAGGAATGAGTCCAAAGGCTGTTTGAGGTAACTGAGAGACTCAAGGAACATTTTTATTTTTAAGTGGAAATACAAAGTGTTTCACATGTGACAAAGCATTGCATAGGGCACAATTAAGGACAGCAGATTCCAGTCCAACATTAGAAACAGAAACCTTTGATTGTAGAAGACGAACATATCTTGATTGTTTTACAAAATAATTAATCAAGAGGAGACACAAACCTGATGAGGAAGTGATTTATTGATGGGGAAACCACACAGGTAGCATCTGCAGCTTCTAGGGGTTGCTGAAAGACACATTTTTTTAATCAACACATCTGCAGTTCTCACTGACAGGTTGATTCGACTGATGTCTTTGGTGCATAATTCAATGCGCCCTGCTTGCTTGTGCAAAAAGTCTTTGTGCATATGTGGGTTCTTGTGCTTATATTTAAGGTAAAAATAATGAACAAGGGTTCTGTTAAAACTTGAGGTAAGACTAAAGGTTATGATTACTTCAATACAACAAGTATGGCTCTTATTTGCGGAACAACGATGTTCTGTTTGATAAGGGTAAATAAAGGTTTATTAGAGGTGCCTCAACTTTGTTGAGGTCTGAGTTATTGCAAAAATAGAAGAGATGAATAAAAGTTAAAGGGCTCTAAGATTCGTGAGGAGAAAGAGTGCTAAAAAAAGAGGTCACTATGGTAGAAAAAGTTCTTATTCACACTTTTAAGTAAAAGTTAAAGGATCAAGATTTTAGTTTGAGGTCTTGCCTTCCCATTTCACTCAATGAGTGACTCATACAATTATTTTAAGTCTTATTTTTAATGTTAGAAGCTGTTCATAATAAAAAAAAAGACCTGCAGGAAAATTAAAACTTAAGAAAATATGAAACCTCAGATGTACTTTTTGAGTTTTAGTCTTTTGGAGTGAGCAGGGGTTAGCCTGCTTTAGCCTGATTGCCACTTAGTCTGTCCTATTTGTATTATTAATAGATTTTAAAAGCTTTAAGATGACCTCGATTAGCCCAGTCTCATTCTCAGAGTTCCAAATACTGCCATGTTTCTTAGCCAGTGGCATCTCAAAGATAAAATGAAAATTGGTGTTTGTTCTTCATGTATCGACGCTTGTGAAGGGCCCTTTCGTATCATGCCATTTAAACATAATTTTTTAACATAAGGCCATACTTATTGCTAGGGCTGTTCGATATAACGATATGTATCGGATACCGATATAAAAACGTTTCATTTTACACTATCGTTTGTTTCGTGGTGTCGCAAAATAAACTGTTTACGGCAATATTTTTTCATGGTTTTGATGGTCACTGTAGTGGCTATATTAATTTCTTAAAGTTCTCTCTTTCTCTTATATTTAATATAACCACACTACGGACGGACAAGCGTCTCTTTTTATGGGTTGTTGTTAGCAACAACGATGGTAAAACCATCGCATGTCCGCTTGTTTATTTTCCACATAAACCTTTCACAATAAAGCTCAAGATCCTATTGAGGCTTTTCAAAATAAACGTAATCACGTGAAAGATGCAGAGTATTGACGGATGAGAAGCAAAAAAAGAGCCGTCAGGTGCTAAAAAATAAACCTTAGACTCAAACGTTAGAACAGGCTTTTCCCCGCAGCACGCCGTGTAATAAATAGAAAGAAAACGGCAGCCTTTACAACTTATGTCTAAAAATGTGTAGTTTCATGCATCGGTTAAAACACTCAACTCCAGGTACAAGATGCCCAGCTGGAAACACTTCACCTACCCGAGATTCACAGAATTTACAGAAAATATTACATTTTTTGTGATTTATATCGTTATCGGACGATAGATGTTTTATATCGGGATATGAGATTTTGGTCATATCGCACAGCCCTACTTATTGCCTTTAAAAAAAACAACAGACAAACTTGACCAAGTAGTTTTCCGTGCCTACAGCTAACTAATTTCTTTTAGCAGCCCCATTTCCTTGAGAGGTTTTTTTTTCTTATATAACTTTAATCATTTTTCTGGTTAAAAAAGTCTCCACTGAGTCGCTGCACTCTCTTTGGGTATACAGTGGTATTACACCAAACTACTGCTTTTTCTTTAACACAGTGTTTAGTTCTGTTGAGCTTTTCAGCTTTAATTTGATTTTGAAGGATTTAAACAATTTTTGAAATAAGTAGCTTTAAAAGAGGACTGTTAGATATGTCAGGACAATCAAGCCAAAGGAAACCTATCAATAGGACAACAGCAGCATCAGATAGAGTGGCAGTATTTGACGCCATGGGACTTGACTGCTTTGCATGGGTTTAGCACAGATATTAAGGGATAAGTATGGTTTATTTTAGCCTAAATTCCTAAAAACACATTAAATACCTTTTATTCTTTTTCTTTTTTTTTTAAATAAATCAAGCTACAGGTAGCCTATTTCCTCAAAAAACAGTTTCATAAACAGTTTCGGCCAGTGTGTAGTAAATATTGCACACATTAGTTCAGGGAAAGATTAATGGCTTCAGGTAAAAAAAACAAAACACAAAACCCAGATTTAGACGTTCTCACGTATAAAAGAAAGCAGTTTGCGCTGAGGTCAGGAGAAACTGTCGGCTTTAACCTGCAGGACGTCACTCACACCAGGACGCGTCTGAAGAACCTGAAGGGGCACAAAAATGACAACATGAAGGTGGTCTGTGCTTAAAGTCTCTCTGAGTTTTAAAGCTGACCTAAAAAAAACTTCCTCTCCAGTTAAGTCGTCCAGAGTTGGGTTTATTTAAAGGAAATTAGATCCTTGGTAAATCCAACCATGACCATTTACAGATTTACAGGAAAATACAAAAACATTGTGGTTAAGTAGTACAAGCATGTTCTGACCACTGAGTTTGACGTTGTGGGATTGCATTTGTACAGATCTGTATGCCTGCACCGTTATACGGATGTATCCTGAATTGGTCAGAGGGTTTCTGTCTGTAGACAGTTTGTCACAAATGTCCGAAAATCACACGAGTGCAGAGTGAACTGATGCACTCTGCTTGTTGAAAGCACACTTCCAGAAGTATTTTGAGAGCTTGAAAAACTTGTAGAACTGCTTCTGCAGTTCTAAAAACAAAGCAAGTTGTAAAGTGACTGTCAGTGATGTCAGTTGTTTGTGATGTTTGTGATGTTTGTGATGATTTATTAAGTATTCATGAAGCCGATAGTGACCAAAGTGTTTTTGTCTTTGAGCAATTCAGAGCGGGGTTTATTTATGACTGGCACGTCTCAGGCACATCATTCCAAGAAAAACATTAAACCCAAGTCCAGAGCTTTGCAGACCCATGTTGTAGCTATGTACAGTCACCAGGGGGCAGTGTCAGGAACTTGTGGGACAAGCAGCAAATGTGAGCTACTCTTGTTTATATTTGTGTTTTATTTGATGTTTTAATGTTTCATGTTAAACATAAGTGAAGTACATTTGAGGGGAACTATTCTGCTAATTTACTGTTCCACATTTTTATTCTAGATGAGCTTTTCATGATTCACGGTTAAAAATAATCCTTCTTTGTCTTATACTTGGCTTTTTTGTAGTTCCTCAAGGGTGATTGATCATATTTGTGGAGCCTGCTGAGGAGCAGCTGATTTAGCCCCCTGCCCATAAGCCCAGTCTTATTTTCTCTCAGTGCACACTTTACATTGAAATAAATATTTGTCTGCTTCTCCTGACAGCCAATCAAAGAGCAGTATTTATAACTCACCTTCAGTGTACTGAGAATCTCTCCAAACAGATGTTGTGCTTCCTCAGTGTCCGGTTCTTCAAAGTAATCTGACGCAGAGACCTCGACAATGATTGACCTGATGTTCTCACACTCACCTGCACAGGTACACAGAGGAGTCATCAGCAATCATTGATTAATAATAATCTCACATTTCTGTGTTGCCTTCAGTTACAGAGACTCACTGTGGAAGTGCAGGATGGCCTGACCACTCACGGGCGTGTGTGTCAAGATCAACGTCTGCAGGTTCTTCTTCAGTCCAGCCTTACACAGCTCTGTCGCCGCCTGCAGGCCGAGGTCAGTAATACGCTCCAACTCCAGCACCTGTAGCTGAGCACAGTTGCGTACTGCACACAAAACACACAACAAAAAAAACCCCACACAGCTAATGGTATAATGCATTGTATTTTTACACCAAAATAAACTGTAACTTTACAGTTACTACGGATTTAATCTGTACAAGCATGTAGGAGAAGAAACAAAAATGTCAATAACCATATTTTTCACTGACCAGCAGCAACCAACCCCTGAGTCCCACAGCCAGCTCCGCCCACACTGAGAGAGCGGAGGTGTGGCCAGCAACGGCCAATTGTCTGCAAGCAGCGGTTACCAAAACGAGTTGGCTGTTGGCTGGAAATATTGAAGAGAGAAAAAGACTGGTGTCAAGGTGACTCAAATCTGCTCATTTGTTCCTGCACTCTAGACTGGATTCACAGCAGACAGGACAGGAATTTTATTTTATTTTTAGAAAAAGGGAAACAGCTTTGTTGTTTTTCAGTATGGAGCTATCACAGTGGACTGTGTGTGTGTGTACTAACCAGGGATGAGCAGGCGCCACCTGCAGGCTGGTGATGCTCCTGCATCCAGCACCCAAAGCCCAGAGAACCTCCTGACCGAGAGGATCTGATGAACTCCTGCAGAGGACCAGACAGACAGTCGAGTAAGCGGACAGACAGGTGAAGAAGAGGACAGGAAAACAGCCTCACCTGTATGTGAGCGTCTGCAGGTTCCTGCTGTAGCAGCTGGCCAGCCACAGGGTCCTATCGGTGAGGATCTGGGGACACTGAGAGATAGACAGGTGGAGCAAGCTGCCCCCTGCTGACCGCAGCAGGGCCTCCACCCCGGGCTCCACACTCCCTCTGATTGACACACAAACAGACGTATGCCAACTACAGTACCCACAATCCACTCAGAGGACAGCTTTCTTCTCTTGTAACGTCTCAGAAACCTGTTAATGCACTGAGCACTGACCAATCAGATAACAGCTGCGTTACCATGACAACATGCATTTCAAAAAGATAAGAAAAGCTTGTACATTTCCTCGGTAGCAGCATTAATCCTTGAGAGCGGTGTGTGTTTGTGGGCTTGGATTTTTGATTTTGTAGGGACACAACTCACACAGTCACACTGTGGGGACAAAAATTAATCCTCAAAATGTAAATAATTAGGTTTGAATGAGGGCTTGAATAGTGGCATTGTAAAGCGCTTTGGGTGGCTTGAAAAGCGCTATATAAATCCAATCCATTATTATTATTATTGACTCAGTGGTTATTTTTGGTTTAAATCATCATCGTCTGGACATTTTGGCTTGCCAGTAACATTAAAGACTTAACCTATGCTTGGGCTACAACCATGGCCCTCAGAAGTACAGAAAGTCAAACCTTTGTGAGTTTAATTTACCGTATGTTTCTGTGGTAATCCTCTCGCGTCTCGTTGGCTCGACGACTTCGAGGCTTCAGGTTGCTGAGCACCACGGCCTGAGTTTGAGTGCACCACTGTGACAGCGTCGTCAGGAACTACACACAAAGAAAAACATTTTAAATGTGAAATAAACATTTTAAAGTATAAACCTAATAATTCCTGCATTTTTTCCCTGACAACATCTTGTCACTCTGCCACACAGTTTAATACTACAAGACAGTAACTGTTTATTGAATAAAAATCTGATTTTGGAGTAGTACTGAATAAAGAATATTCTGCCTAATTAAGGTTTCTATGTGTGAACAGTTTTAAATTAGCAACAATTTTAAAACTGAGACAAAAAGCAAACACATATTTATTTTGTATAGATGCTGCTCTTTCTTTTATCTTTCTGTTGAAGCTACTATGCCCCATCTTGTAATCGCAAGGCTAAAATTATGGAAAAAAGACAAATTCCAAGTATGAAGTCAAAAAAGAAAACCAACCAGCCAAGCTTAAGTTTGGATGGAAATACCCAAACTGAAAGCATGAAGTGGTTAGTGTTGCAGTTTTCAGTTTCTTTCATGCAAAGTGGAGGTGACCTTGGCATTCTGCTAGTGACTAAAGCAATTTTGCAAACATGCACAATACACATTTTCCCCTAGCAACCAGTGGTTGCCAGGGGGTCACTGACTAGTTTCTAAACCTGTGTGAGTGGGGCGTTATTCCCTTCACCCTACACTGTCACCATGACTGTCACATGTCCAAAATGGCGGACAAGTTAAATGTTACATGGCCAGCAGATTATCAGGGACAGCTATAAGAGGATGACATTAGTAACTATCTGAAGATGATGAGGACTTCGATACCTCTGTAGACACTCTGGCATTCTCCAGCTGGAGGCGTGTCCAAACAGCAGGGTGCCTGGCAACGAACC